TCCCTGATTTCAATTTGTACCCATCTTGTCCAAGACATTGACTGAGCTACCATATTTCCTCTAGATTTTTTTTTAGAAAAATATATATTTTTTTTCCCAGGATGGTGAGAGTTTTTGACTACACAACTCAAAAATACACACCTAGACCACTGTTTAACTGAATTAATGAAAGGCAGTCCTGAACAGACACAACTCCTCTCCAGCCTAGTGGAGGGGCATTTAATCGTTTTTGGCCTAATCCTCTACAAATTGCTGTTACTGAAATCTCCTTAAATGGATGAGGGATCAGGACCGTTCACCCTCAAATCCTGCCGTACTTGCCTGCGTGGTGCTATTGCAGGTAGTCAGCATGAAAAGGAAACACCACACGTGCGTCTGTGTAGGCTGTAGAGAATCATCAACTTCCATCCTTCCCATGCATGTCCTTGCCCAGGGCCTTCTGGCTTCTCCCCAGGGAAAGCCAGGTGTCCCTCACGTGAAATCCTGCTGACACTGATGGCAACATTTCCGAAGGTTCAGGATTTCCCCCCACATTTTAACCTTCTGATTATTTATTGTCTGCCTGCCGCTACCCAGCACTCCGGTGCATCCCAGAGAGCTCAGTTCCTCTTGGCTGGAATACATCAGCTTTCTTAGGACAAATCCATGGGGAAGACCTTCCCCTTGACCAAACAGGGCGATGCAGAGCTTCAGCCGTGGTTTAGGGGATCTGTTGGCACTCACGATGTTTTCCTGTGTCAAACCTGTATTCCCCCGGCTCTGAGGCCAAGGAGTGATCTTCAGCTGTGTTTCTGAGTGACCCTGACCCTGCTGCTCTGGGCAGTAAGCTTTGCACAAGGGAATGATCTGATGTCACCGTAAGTATCCAAAAGAAGGTATATTTAAACAATTTATGGTTTATGGGAAGTCGTTTACCCTGTCCTCTCTCATGCAAGCATTTGGATACTAAAGAAATGAATTCTGCTGCTGCAAAGTCCACAGCACTTTTCTGTATTATACTTTTAAATCTGTATTTTAATCTGTATTATAGTTTTAAAATAGCATATCACAGTCTCTCTCCTCTAGATTTTGGATTATCAGAATAAGACATATTTTCGTAGACACCAAAAAACTTACCGGAAACAATAAGCTTTGTGCCGGTTCCAAAGACTTTGTAGTAGTCACTGTATACAAGTTCTTTGCAAAAACCCACCTTGTCTCAGTGTTTTGGAAAACCTCATTTTGTGCCCCAGCCTAGCCTTGTTTTCTAATCAGAAATGTACCTGTTTCTTTCGGCACTCTGACTTCCATCATGAAAGCTTTTCTTTGTGAAATGGTGTGTGGATGGAGCTCTGTTGGCTCATACAACGGATTTCGCTTGTGGTGGTCTTTCGGCTTTAAATGAATAAGCTTGCGTGTACACACAAACGAAGGATGTGGATACGGATAAAGTGGAGGATGGAGTCCTAATTTAACAGTGGGCATTCAGAATCGTGGAAATATTTTAGCAGATCCTATGCACCTCAAACTGGTCATTTTCTAGACAGAGACTCCTTCAGCATCCCCTGAGGTTCTTATGGAAAACGTGATAAACCGTAAAGTTTATCACCTTGACAAGATGGGAAATAATGCATATATGTGCGGGTACATCTGCGTATGAACACATAGCCTACAAGAACCTGGCACTGCATCTATCACCAGTTCAAGCTGACCTTTTTGGGGCATAGCTTTAGGATTACAGAGACCATCATAAACAGGGGAATGTTCACACTGCTGCCTGTTTGTGAACATTGCCTTAAAAGAATCAGATACTGAATTCGTCTTCACACCTATGAAATCCTTGATATTGTAAAGCCATTAGCAAATGTTCTTATTAGTATTAATCATGGTAAGACAAATCTTTCCCTCGGCAGCTTTCTTTTGAGTGACCATATCTTGCCTTATTTACATCTTACAGCTTCATCCTTCTGCCCTAACACTCCTTAGGGCTTTCAGGTCTACTGAGTTTTGATTCAGGGCTTCATCTTTTTTCCCATTAAAAAGAAATAAACTAATGGAAACTGATGCATACACTAATTTTTGCCACTTTGATTTAAAAGGACAGAAAGATTAATCCAACTCTAGGTAATGTATAAATGCATTTAAGTATAAATTATCTTTATGCATCATATATTTTACAATTACAAAAAATAATTTTAGCTTTTTGAACTCTGTACCTCAGTGTATTTCACAAAACCAGGGTAGATGCTTCAGTATTATTTAGGAGATAGCATTTAAAAACCAAAATATTGCTACCAGAACTTCTGCTATTCCTAGAAATGTTAGTAGATTGTCCTTTTATCACTTCAAAATAAGTTAGGAGGATGCTGCAGAGGTGCCAGGGAGACCCAGCTGCAGCTGTAGCAGCAGGCATGGCAGAGGGGGACCAGCCTCACACTGCCTGAGCAAGCCACTGCTGCTGTGCTGAAGGAAAATTACTGGATTGGGAGAGGCTGGTGCAGTCTTTGCCTCCATCTCGACTTCCCTCTTGCAACCTTGTGAGTGCCTAAATTCCCCTGAAAAATACAGAAGAATCCCATGTTGCCAGTTTATGTTGGATTAACATTCCCGTTCTGCTGTAAGCTCCTAAAACCTCATCTATTCCACCAAATGCAGGTGCCAAAGCAGTCTCTCAAATCCCAGCCCTTCTGTTACCTACATTATTGTAAGTCTCAAGAAACATTATTTTGGTCAGAACTAATTAAAAGAGACCAACAAGAGCAAAATCGTGGCAAGTTGATGGGAGTTTGGCCCATTATATATTTGACGCTTTCAGTATAGATCTGGGAAAACATTCTGCTCAGGCTCAAACTCTGATGATAAAATTGAATTAAGGTCACTTATCTTGGACCTTAGTCTTGGTTTTCTCCATTTCTTTCCATTACTGAGCTAATGTTGGATAGCAACCTCTGAACAGACAAACTGTGATGAAATGCCTCATCTTAAGTGTGAGGTAATTACAGCCCTTTTACTCTGTTAATTGGTCCGAAGCCTTGGCCACATAGAGGCAAAATCCTGCAGAATTAGTGATGCTTGAAAATAATTTGTCGTAAACTGTAGGTTCTGAAAGCATGGCATCTACCTGATTAACAAGGTAGGGATTTTCACTACACATGCTTATCCTGGCATGGATACTTCTATTGAACTGTTGTTATGATTTACTTAGTCTTTCTGACATAAATAATTATAAACAAGCTTTGCTTGATGTGCTCATGCAAGTTCATGTATTTAACCAGACTTAAGGCATTTGGTAGCAATAATTCCTCTGCCTTGTGTTTGTGTAGTTGTTTACTCCAGGGCTGTGGCATTTAAAGCACGTTTAATAGCAAAAAGAAGATTTTTGTCCTCCGCTTTCCATTAAGATAAATGTCTCGGCAGGAAAGACAAAAAAAGGGACCCTTCTTCGTATGCGTGTTATTAAACATTAAGAAGAGCATTTGAAGGTACTAATTTATTTCTACTGCCAAAGTGCTTGTGTATATGACAAAAATAATTACGAACAAGTTATTTCACTTTTACTAGCCTGATTAAAAAAGGATTTTGGCAATGGCTACTGCATATTACTCTTTGTATCTGCATTGGGAAGAGGTGGGTTTTTTTAATGCTTCATTCACAGCTGCTTGATTCCCTGCTTATTCCCTGACTACAGCTGGAGGAAAGAACGAGGACTCTGGAAACTATTACAGGCCATTTTCCAGCACATTTCCAAGGAGGGGTATGATCAGAAGTGGCTCAAACCAGCTTCTTTTCAGAAATATCTGTGATCCTAAATCACTGCATTACAAATACAACAAGGTTCACTGTAGGAATGACAAGCTGGGGAGGGAAATCCTGCCCAAGGAAGGTGCCGACTGAGGCTCTAAGCAGGCTGGGTACCCTCTGGGATGCTACAACACTCACTTACACAGCCACCCCAAGCTCCTATAGCTTGGGGTATGGAAAAGAGCGTGTAACTTACCTGACACAATGAGTTTGGTACCAAAGCCAAACACCTTGATGTAATAACCAATCACAATGAATTAAGTCTTTGCAGTAACAGTGCAGCTCTTTTATCTTTATATGGCTAAAGAGTATTCTTTAAAGAAGATCAGAATTGCCGTATAATCAATTTTTACACCCTAGAAAAGTAAAAAAGAAGCAGTCGCCTAAACTAAACTAACAAAACTAAAAAGGCATGGAGGTTCTTGAGGGCACATGTGTTGTTAAATGGGCAGGATTCACCTCAGTGCATTTTAGTCCTCTGAAAGTTCAGACGGACGGTGCAGATGGAGCACCTTGGCTCTGCCTCTGCTTTCTGCAGAGAAGCAGCACCAGCAGAGGATCGATTTGATCAAATATTGGCCAAATAATCTGCTCCTTATACACCCTCATAAAACCAGACCTAGAATTGGTGAACATTATGCAAAACCCCCGGCCAATATTTCTGTGGTCAGTAACACAAAGCAAAACCCTGTATGTATTGGAATCGGACCTCCCGCTAACCAGATACACCGTTTTCAGACAGGCAAAATGATGCAGAATTAGGCACCAGCAGTTTACCTGAAGCAAAATAAATGTTATAGGTATGCCCAAACATTCTGAGTTTGGCATTCTTCGTTAACCATAGAAATAACTGAAAAAAAGCGGTTTCTGCCAGAACTAGGAAAAAAGAGCAGTCTTTTAACTACATGTATCTTCAGACAGTTCTGGGCATATATCAGGTAACTCCTTTCATTTGGTGTAGTCAGCCAGTCCTAAAGGAAAATGTTTTGCTTTTCAAGAATTTGGTTAACCCAAATGTTTGACACTTTTCTTTCAGAATGAATGAGGAATATCACAAAGGTTGAATGTGCATATTTAAAGACAAAACCATATTTCAGTTCTCTGAATGCTATCTTTGCCATATTTAAATTCATCTTGAAAATAATAATGGATTAGTTATCCAACTGTGCTGCAATAGCTGTTGTGTTTTCAGACATAAATGCAAAACAATTATGTTGTTTTCTGCATATGGAAATGCTGTTTATGAGGAAAATTCTGCAAAACATTTAGTAGGGTTAAAACTGGCAGGAACTAAAATAGCAGAGCCCTTCATGCAGACAGTATCTAACTGTATTGAAAAGCATTTCAGAAGAAGTTTAGTTTTACATTTTCTACTTACTTGAAACAATAAGCTTAGTTCCACTTCCAAATATTTTAATGTCCCCATCCCACTGTCCGATAATGCTTAGCAATATCTCCTGCACTTGCATAGGATACAGAAAAAGTCTCTCTGGCTTAGAGATTGGTGAGGAATCTGGCCCAGTGCAATAGCTGAATTTTCAACATTCACTAGAGTGCCATTTTTGCCCAGAGAAGCTGTGGATGCCCCATCCCTGGAAGTGTTCAAGGCCAGGCTGGATGAGGCTTGGAGCAACCTGGTCTAGTGGGAGGTGTCCCTGCCCATGGCAGGGGGGTTGGAACTAGATGATCTTTAAGGTCCCTTCCAACCCTAACCATTCTATGATTCTATGATTTTCAGAAATACTTCTATTTTTTTAGTGAGAAAAAAGTGCAGGTTTTTAAACCCATCATTTTCTGAGAAGAAAGTAGTGTCGTGTTTATTTTATAACTATGTTCTAATCCTTTTAGCCTGGGATCTCTCTAACAAAGATGTGTTGCTTCTGGTCTGCTAGGTTTTCTCTGAAGTAAACTTTTTACTGTTTTAAGAAGAAATGCAGTTAAATGATGATTCCCACAGGAAGTTAAGAAAGTTTACTAGTTATTTGTAGATTTAAATCTACAGGTGAATTTTTTTTCCCCCTAACTGTCCTATCTGGCAAATTACTTACTGTGTGAAAGTACCTTAACTGAAGTTTCATCAAACTCATATTTTGAAGCCCATATTTTAAATGCAAAGCCCATATTCTAAACAAAACTTACTGATGCCCGTAAGGTTCGTGCCTTTGGCAGCTGGTCACTCTGTCATCTTTTTTGGCAAAAGCAGCTGCCTTTAGACAGAGACAGTTTAATTGCAAATTGCAGCGGAGAACACTTTTGGCCACAGACATGGGTAATATTATAAATTTCTCTGTCGTTCTCCTCTGCTTTTTATGATTTGACTTGATCGTAGTGACCTGGATAATATCATGTATTTTCTAAGAAACATACTGTAGGCCTTGTGATATGCTTTATACCAAAAAAAGCATTCTTCCTATTGATTGCATAGCTGCACCACAATTAAGAATAAAACAAATGCAGAAGTAAACCAGTTACTTCCAGTAGGGCCAAGAACTAGAAATTTATTACATTCCAAGCAATTTTCCTTCACAATCAAGTTAGAGTGAACCACCTCTATCAATAAGAAACCTTCTGCATTTCTCACTTGCTGTTCTGAGGGTAAACTTTCAAGCAGTTCACTTTTCTTTCCCAGAACAGGAATGAATCCATCCCGATATTTAAATGTTTACCTCTTCTCATTTTTCCATTCCCCCGTCCTTAACAGGTATTCGGTAACTGTTCTAGAGGCGATCTCTCCTTACACAAGGTCGGTATATTCACTGCCCACCAACCCACCCAACTGGGGCACCATGCACAGTTCTTAGTCAGAACACGATTTATCAGGCAGAAATCAATTTTCCTACAGTCTTTCATTCTTAATTATCTGAGAACCTGAATGACTCTGTGAAAATCAAATTAATAATCAAGGTACTTACTAGAGACAATTAGCTTGGTCCCCGTGCCAAAGTATTTGATCCACGTGCTCCACACTCTGTTTTGACTTTGCAATAAGGTAACGTGCTCTCTTGCTGTGCCACGGCTGAAGAAAATCCCCTTTTTTTTCCCAATCAACCCTGGGAGACTGAGTGAAGGCCTGGCCTTTAGCTCCTGGGAGGATGTCAGGAATTTCAGCCTTGCATCTGGTTGTTTAGCTAATATATAACGGCCTTCAGGGCAAATCTGTTTTCTGAAGTGTTGCATATTTGTTAGATAACCCCCCCCCGCTTGATGCCTAAGAATTAGGTGAAGATTTCTCTTCAGTTTTTGTCTCACAAATCCGTGCATAGGATTGTGCATGTTAAAAAGCACATACCTGCAGGCGATGATCCGGCACTTTTCCAAAGGGGTACCCCTCTGCTCACCTGCAATTAAGTGACATCAAGCACGACCAGCACGGAGTTCGTTTTCAGTCGTCTTAATACCATTCAGCGGAGGGAGAGGAGGGAACGCCAGCAGAATAAGCCCCTCTCTGCAGTGCATCACGAAGGCGTCCACATGCTGCAGGTGGTATTTGCTGCCCCCGGTACGTGGTTATTGTCTGCCCGTCTCCTGGAATCGCTCCAGGCTCTGTAACAGCAGCTCAGTGCAGCTGTACCTATACTGGCTGGGGGGAGGACGAGGCTTTTCCTTTGTGCACAGGGTTGTAACAAAACCAACCCAAGATAACATCAGAGGAGTCACCGGGGATCAAACGGTCTGTGCCGTCAAGACAGTGAGTTGGAGTGTTTCTGGGACTCGTGTGGCACTCAAACACCAAAACAACGTTAGCAAATTAACCATCTCTGGCTACAGGGAGGAACCAGACTGAGGGTGAAGGGCTAACAACAGCAGTCATCTACTCTGAAGGCTCCTGGGCACGAACACGGCCGTCACAACCACAAGAATCAGGAGAACGGTGCCGACTGGTGCTTCTCTTGCCACGTCTGTAGGCGCTTAGCGAAACTTAGCTCACCTGCAGTTTCTGAAACTCATCCTCGGTGGGGGAAGTGAGACGGGATCTTTCAAGTTGTGGTTGAGACGCCGATGGAGTATTTGTCTAGGTGATCTCTGAGCTTCTGCCACTGTGACGATACCAGTAGGCGCAGTAGTAGGTCGCAGTGTCGTCTGGAAGGACGTTGTTTATTTCAAGAATGCACAGTTTCTGTCCAGAAATCTTTTCAACCCTATACCTCTGCGCTTGGAAGCCCTCATCTACTGCTTTTGTCCCTGCAAAATAGAGCACCCTCTCTGGGGCTTTATTTGCCTTCTGTTGGTACCAGTGTATGACGACAGGATCAAAATCTTCAGAGACGTCTTTAAAGTGGCATTCCAGACGGACAGTTCCTTTGGACTTCGTGATGGACAGGGGGACCTGCACGGGAATTTCTTGTGCAACTCCATCTAGGAAAGAGAAAAGGAGAAATGATGTCATTAGCCGGATTTGAGGGATTTGGGAAGGTGCCTCTTCGCACAGCAGTGGGCGCCTTGAGGAAAGGTTGGAAAATAACGAAGGACTTACAAATCCAAGCGGTTGTGGCCATGAGCGCTGCCAGCAGCAGCATGGTTGCTTGTCACGCTCGGCTGTCGTTGAGACCCGGAGGAGAAGTGACCCTGGTGCAGAGTGAGCAACGCTGTGTGGGAGGAGGGGACTCCCTTGGGTGTCGGGTGGTGACAGCATGCGTCAAGCCAGAGGAACACGGCCCCTGAGCTCCTGCCGGGAGCAGCGGGGATGGGGAAGCAAGTGGGAAGGGAAAGGAACTAAGAGGAACTGAACTTAGAGGAAACTCTCTGGAAAGCTGCCTGTGAATAAAGATCCTGTGAATAAAGACTGGATGCGACAGTACCAACTCCTGGCTGAGAACTGGGCGTGACACCGCTGGCTGGCCCTGGAGATACCGACGGGACTCGGTGTAACCGGTAAGCCCTTGCCTGCTTAAACTTCACTTTGGGTTTAAGACTTCCAAGACCTGGGGCTACTGGTGTTTAGTGTTTATTTGCACCCAGCCTGGTCTTCTTTCTGAAGTCCCAAAGGTGCTGCTGCGTGATGGCCCAGCACCACAGGCATCCAACCGCGCCGCTCACCGGGCAAAGCAAAGGGGATAAACAGGCACATACTGGGCTAAAGGCACAAGGAAAAATGACTCCTCTCAGGCTCTTCTGTGGTCAAGTGCTTGCTGTGCCCAGGGCCGTGTCCGAACCGGCTGCAAATCGGAAGTAAGTCCATCAAACCTGACAGCTTCAGCGAACCTCCTGCCTTCCAAAAACCCTGTTTATCCTCTTTCACTTAACATAAAACGCAGGAAGAGGGTGGTTATAAGCAGCATGTTGTCAGCTGTGGTTGATAGGACACTGTAAAACTTCGATTTAAATTGGTGTGTGTGGCATTTTGCAGTATCCAGATTAGGTAATATCTCCAGGCACGTACAGTTGCCCCTTCGGAGACGCCTGGACCCTGCCCTGGCTGTGCCAAGGAGCAGGTGAGTCTCTGGTGTTTTTGTGCTGAGTCCTAAGCCTTCCCTTACCCTTCAGGCAGCAGATGCCTGTTTGAAGGCCAGAGTGCTAATGACGCCCCAGGCTCTGAGAAGGACGTTTGTGCAAGGTTGGCTGCTCTTTCTGGGGAGCAGGAAAAGGTTTGGCCTTTCGGCAGCTCCTATCAGATGGAGCGAGGAGACGGAGGGAGCGGCAGAGTTAGCAGCCTGTGGTTCAGACACTGAGGGAGGTTTTTTGCCTCGACGATCTTTGCGTTTCTACCACAGTGAGGGTCCCAGTAGGCACAGTAGTAAGTAGCGGTGTCATCTGGAATGACATCTTTTATTGTAAGAACACACTGGTTCTTGCCAGAAACCTTTTCAACCATGTATCTGTCTTCTTGAAAGCCACTTTCAAGCGAAGCTTTCCCCCCTGAAAAAAACAGGAGCCTCTCTGGAGCTTTTCCCTCTTTCTGTTGATACCAGTGTATGACGGTGCTGTCAAAACTTGCCCCTAATGATTGAATTTCGCATGACATGCGTGCACTTCTTCGGAACTTCGTGATGGATAAAGGCCTCTGCACGGGAATTTCTTGTGCAACTCCATCTAGGAAAGAGAAAAGGAGAAATGATGTCATTAGCCGGATTTGAGGGATTTGGGAAGGTGCCTCTTCGCACAGCAGTGGGCGCCTTGAGGAAAGGTTGGAAAATAACGAAGGACTTACAAATCCAAGCGGTTGTGGCCATGAGCGCTGCCAGCAGCAGCATGGTTGCTTGTCACGCTCGGCTGTCGTTGAGACCCGGAGTGGAGTGACGGGTACCCGAGATGGAGACAACGTTGTGTGGGAGGGGAAGGTGACTCTGTTGAACCCTCTTCAGTGTCGGGTCTTCTCTGAGCAAGCAGGAGGGGCACGTTTGCAGAAAATCCACTCCAGGCTGACAAATGCTGACGTTGGTTAGAGGTTGTGGTCCAGCCGGTTTTTCAGATAAATATGAGAAACATGGGTGTATCCAAGGGCTGTGGCCCTTGAAAACTCGAGCCAGAGCCACACGGTAAGAGCTGCGAGTGACGGTAGCTCCAGCTGAGTATCAGGGTGGCAGGTTTCAGCCCGGGTGTCTCCCCGGTGGGTGCTGGGTGCGTGCCGTCACCCAGAGTGGGGTGGAGAGTGCACAGTGCATGAGTGGAGGAGGCATTCCCCTGTTCCTGTCAGGGAGCTCCTTTTGCTGCTTCAGCTTTGTCGCCCAGCTTTGTCGCGCCGAGGGGCCGGAGGTGCACCGTGCTGGTGCTGCCCTCCACCGAACCCGCGGGAGGCCGTCGTCGTGCGGTGACCGGGGCGGCTGCGCTGTGGGGATGTGCGTGTGCTGGGGTGCTGATGGCGGGAGGAAACACACAGCTGCAGGACTTGGGGTTTGAAGCTCAGCTGAGATGCAATTCCTTCTTGGAAAGGAAGAGTGGAAAGCAAAAGCGAGCCCGGGGAGGGCTGCTCTCAGTGGCTATTGCAGAGGGGCCTCTCGATGAGAGGGGCTGGTGCTGCAGGGCACTCCCCTGTGAGCCCGGGATGCAGCTTGCTGGGCACGAGGGAGCTGAGCTGCTTCGGCCTCATCCTGCTGGCAGTTGGCCACTGCAGCAAGTCAGCAATAAGGACATGTTGCCCACCGGCCTGGAAAGGTGCCCGTCAGTGCAGAGCTCCAGGGAGAGGAAGGCAAGGAGACACTGCCTCTGTGTGGTGGCAGTGGAAAGGTCCCTCTCTTCCCAGTAAATAACCGAGGGAAAGTCTGTTTCATTTTCTGCCAGGTCAGCGTGAGGGGGATGAGAAGGAGACATGACTTAAGGACCTGCAGGCGCAAGAAAATTATGAGGAAGATAGAAACGTGTAGCCGACTCCAAGGAAGGAGATGCAAGGAATAGGTCACTAATTCCAGCAGCATCCACCACTATGGATGTTGTGTGCCCTTTTTTGAAGGTCGAGGCACATGAGCAGTGTATCTCACCGGGTATCAGGCACTTGCACTCTGTCCTAACTCTGGAACTCATATGCACAAACTGATCTCAGTTTCCTGAGTTAGCTGTCGGGCAAATGCCAGCTTTCCTAGCTTGGTGAAAAGAGGCGTTGAACGTAGAATCTGATTTGTGAAACTCAGGGCTCTTACCCTGAAGGGACTGAGAGTATCTGCTTGCCGGGAGCATTGCCCGTGACTGAGCGTTTCGGTTGTGTTCTCAACACCTCAGGTGAGAATCTGAAAATGCAATTAGGTTTTCTGGGCTGTTATAGAGATTTGTTGTGACTGAAATGCAAAAGACAGCAAAAGAAAACTGTGAAGGAGGTTGTACAAGATCACCTGGATTACCCTTCTTCTTTTACATTCATGGCAAGTGCAAGGTCCTGCACCTG